TCTGGGGCAGGGGTGCAAGTCCTGGGGCTGCCTCCAAAATCCACCCATGCAGGTACACAGTGTATCCAGAAACTGCACAGTCATGTCTGATTTTGCACCTTAATTTAGGTGGTCTATAAACTACTGAGGCTGATGCTATCAACTCATGAATGCACACTGAGTTTCCTGTGATGATCAAAGCCAGCTTAAACTCAAGTTTTCAGTGTGTATGTGTGTGTGTGTGTGTGTGTGTGTGTGTGTGTGTCTAATATATTGGCTTAAAAGCAGAACCTTGCAAGTTTTTTATTTCATTATAGGCCACGTGATCACAAATTTATGCTCTTCTGTAAGTTTATGGTGGTAGGTGGCAACAATGTCAGACAAGGGGATTTAGTGCTGGCCAAGGAAAAATGCACAGCAACCAGCTTCTTTAGTCATAGCTGTTGCCCTTTACTTGGTAATATTCTAGTCTACGCCCATTTCATATAAATTTAGTACGGTTCAAATGGACCAGCTCAGGAATATTTAATCAAGTGTATTAAGCTGCAATTAAAATGCTAGCATGACACCTGGTGGCAGTCCAGGATTCAAAGCCAGTGGCAGGAAAACGGGCTTAGATGCTAGATGCTACGGCCTGTACCTACAATGTGTTATGTTATCTAGATGTTCGAGCAGGCGGTGTTCCAGCCCCCACTGGCCTTGGGAAATACACTGAATACCCTCAGTTACCAAATTTCCAAAGCATTATATGCTGAGTATTTATCTTTTATCTTCTTACCTGATGCTGAATAGCTGAACTAGCACACATGATTTAAATTTACAAGTCAGGTTTTTTTAGATTTTGGTTTAAATTTAAACAATTTTTGGTTTAAATTCCCTTAATATAAACATGTAAATCACAGAGTATAAAATCTTATAACAATTAAGTAGATTTTTAAAAAATTAAGTATATAAAATAAATAAAGCATAATATTTCCAGTTATTACACTTGCTGGGGTCCAGCCCCAGCAGGTCCAGGGGTCCCCAAAGGTGTGGATGGAGTCAGCGAAGAAGGAATGACATGGAGACAGCGTTCAGTTGATCAGCAGCCTTGCTGGGATCTCTAGCACAATCTCCAGCCAAGTTCTGTGTCCATGTTCTCTTGCTAGGTTCTCCAGCCACGTTCTCCAGGTTGCATCTGTATTTATACCAGTTGATTCTAATCCTATCAATCTCTATTCCAAAGGTTAGGGAGGTTCTTATCTCCATTCCAGGGAGTAAAGATTATGTAGCTTAAGCATGATTGTTCGTAGTTAAAGAGATTAACTACCTGCCTGGCACTTAGTGAAGGGGTTTTATTCCCTCCCTAACTTCAGGGGAAAATCTCTACCTGGGGAAACAACCTTTCTCGGAGAGGTGACCTTGGTTAAAACACAGCGCCAAGAAGGTGAGCAAACATATTAAGAACAGTATGCCATATATGCCAGGTCCCTTGAAACAGCAAGGATGGACCGGCTCCCGGCATACACTAAAGGTGTACTCTAAACTGTTTCTAAAAAACTTATTCTTGGCTAATTGAATAATTTTCCATTACTCTTTTTCCTAGCATTATGTAGAGTACAGACTCAATTGGAAATGGGCACCCAGGCCAAAAAGTTTAGTAAGGCTCAACTTAGAAAGATGGAAGACCAAGGCATATAGCTATGACTTTTAAAAATTAGAAACCAGTTTACCAAATTCCAAGAAATTGAAGTAACGTTATCTCATGAAGCTAAAAAGCTAATTAAAGTAAGGTTATCTCATGAAGAAAGAGGAAAAAAGTAAACCATAACTGTGCACATTAGTGTGACATACAATTCACCTCAAACGTGAGGAACTTCAGATGCTAATGCTATAATTGTATAAGAGAACTATTTCAGGGAACCGAAGCATAATTTGAAATGCACATTGCTATTGGAAGGATAATATCAAAGAAGCTTACTCTGCTTCTCGCAACTCTATTGATGTTGTGCAATCACAGACAGACAACTGAACTGGAACCATCCTCATTTTGACTCTGAATACAATTCTATGCTTTGCAATTGTAGGAAGACCCTATAACCTTACATAAACCAGTTCAGTTTTACCATGCATACATGAACTGGGTCATGTCTGATCCACTTGTAGGTCTGTCTCCTGTGTTTGGAATGTTTTAAAGCTGAGAGTAGAGATGGATATAGACCTCAGATTTGTGTGTGTGTGTGTGAAGTACTTAACACATTAAACTAAAGCTTTCCTTTGGCTAATGGTTTTATTTACTTCACAGGTTACTAAGTGATAAATGCCAACACAATGCCAATTTTACAATAAGTAACAGGAAGTAATTGTCTATAATCGATAAATAATAAGACAAGTAAGTAAATAAATACAATCTCAAGCCCTTTCAAATATGCTTATTATTTTGTTCAAGGTTTATTTAACTGCAAGAATATTCTAATTGTGCCTTTTATAGTTTACAAGCTAAGATTCTGATAGTTTTATTTTTCAGAAAAAAAATACTCTGTAACTTTACTAGATGCCATCCACCCATTTTAAATTATTTTTAAAAAATAAGATATATTTTCTAAAATTCCACATCAAATTCTTCCAAAAATCTCAGAACTATGAAACAGAATTGGAACAGATATATTGTGATCTATCCTGATTTAAATACAGAGGTTTGATTCCTATCTAATTATATGTTACTACATTTCATGGAAAGAGCTAGTCAGATTACTTCCAAATTCAGAGAGATCTTCAGTGTGACCTGACCTAAATTATTGAAAATGTGTGTAAGATATATATAATTCTCTTCTCTACTTCCGGCGGGGGGGGGTAGAGGGGGCATTTGAGAGATGGACATTCATCCTCCCCTGAAGCTGAGACAAACAGACAATTTGAAAAATCTCGTAAGCACATAGCCTAAGACAGATAACATAAGCTCACGGTATCGATAAATACAGTACAGTACTGTAAATGTGTTTTCTCTACCTTATGACTTTTTTCCTCTAGCTTACTTTATTTTAAGAATATAGTATATGATACATGCACACAAACTATATGTTAATCGGCCACATAATCAGTGAGGCTTTTGCTCTACCATAGGCTATTAATACTAAGTTTGGGGGAAGTCAAAACTTATACATGGATTTTTCACTCATGGGGTGGGAGGAGAGGGGTCAGCATCCCTAACGCCCACATTGTTCAAGGGTCAGCTGTAATTTCAAATATGATTTCAAGTCAAAAGTGATAAAAGTAGATGATATTTAGGTGACGATTCTCAAATATATGAGCAAATCTATATTTGCTAGAGTAAGCTGCGAAAAATACGTATTTATTAACAATTCTTTCAGGAAACATTCTCACTTTCATTTTTAAATCTCTTTGCTTTGAGGTTCAGTATTTAGAACCAGCGAGGGAGTTTTGTGGGTCACAGCAGCACTTGGATTTATCTCTCTATTGAAACATCTAAAATAACATCTAGATTTACTTCAGCATTTTACCCTTTGGTATTATTTCATCATCTATGAAATTTCTATTCATATTACAGTGAAGTGTGATGTCTCCATCTGTTTTTGGAACTGTGGGGACCCAGAAGAATCTATTGAGCAAGAAATATCATCCTTATGAGAGATGTTATTGAGAATAAGAGATTATTAAGACTCCCAACCATATACTCAACGCAGCAAATGAGAATAATTCTATAGTTATTCTAAGTTAAGTTGTAAGTAAACAGTTTGACAGACATTAACGCGTTTAAAAAGTTCCTACTCCTGTCAGAAAGGAAGCCTAAATGTGGAAGGTGAAAAATTATTTTTTAAAACAGAGCATATTTAGAGCTCCTGGGCTGTAGAATACAAATCAACCAAAGGGATAGTTTTGTGTTTTTGTTTTTGTTTTTAAATAAACTGTAAACTGCTTTGTATGTATGATCTCACACAATCCTGACATTCTAATACAGAACCTGCCTCTAAATTATAAGACTCTGAACTACATATATTTTTCCTATTATATCACTTCTCTCCCACACTGTATTTACATTGCTCATGAGCTGGAACTGTGCCTTGCTCTTTCCTATATCCTCAGCACAAAGTTGGCCCTCCACAAATATCCACTGAATGAACTAATGAGGAACTTTATTTTCTCCCAGTGCTAATGAATTACAGTATATTTGCATCTTGTATATATAAAATGACTACGGGAAAACAGACTCATCCTCATATGTATTTTAAATTATTGACACAAAATATTGCAACTGACCTGAAATGCATATAAATCCAGAGGAGAAAAAGGCTTCATTGTATGAAGACAAGCTGTCGGTCTGGGCGTAGACAGCGTACGCAGACATGTATGAACAGGCACATTCTACGTAGTCTGAAGTATCCTCAACCACTTTGCAAAATTGACTGTCAGACAACCAGCTAGGGCAAAAAGACAACTGTCACTATTCCTCCTTATTAATACTTGAGGTCTTCAGGAAGCTTTTAAAGAAAAAGTTACTGAACTTAAGTCTTCTTGACTCCAGACTTAAGCAGACCACGGTTTCAAGAAGAACACTGGAGGGAACATCTTGTCTATGACATGACACAACATATCCCACAAGGTACCTTAAGAAGCAGCCCAAATACTATCCAAACCTTCAAAAGCATTCAGATACCAAAAAAGCTGGTCCTCTCAACAGAGCAGGAGCACCCAAGGTTTTCAACAGAAGGCACTCTTTCAAAAATCCCGAAAGATTGGCACAGCCATTACAATGTGTAGTGTTCACCCTTCCTTATTTTTCATAATTCCTAGTAATTTGAACCACACAAATTCCTTATATGCTTTTCTAAAATTCCTTAATCTTTTTTGGAGTTTGCAGCCAGTTATAATACATAAATGTTTTCCAGGGTTCTTTTAAGTATAGAGGGTGTCTATAAGGTCTGGCTGATTTAGCACCAGACAACTATGCTATGTTATGAGCATTCCTCAGCGACTACTGGTTGACACCCTTGATTACTTTTTTAAGGACACACAATTTGTAAACCCAACTGCAGGTTCAACCTTGAAACATTCATTAGCCATTATATATTGAGGATCACAAAGTACCTATGTATTAGGTTTAAGATCTGTCATCAGACATTAGGAATGTCAACTGATAATTTTTTTTTCCAAAGAAAGAAAGAGACTAACCAGAATTTTGGTGTTTAGAGGACAGTTGGCTAATTACCCAACTAAGCTATTAAACCTATTAAGAACTTTAGTTTATGTGGCTGAAAGTCAGTAACAAACAACTTTTTATCCGTTGGTATTATTTTATCACTCTATGAAATTTCTATTAATATTTAAGTAAAATATGATGTCTCCATCTGGTTTGGGAACTAAGTGGACCTAGAAGAATCTATTAAGAGTTGTCATCCTTATGAAAAATGTTATTAAGAATAAGAAATTATTGGGAGCTGGGGATTCTAGGAACCCGTATTTTTTAGCCACTCCTCCAGCAAATCTGATGCATCGTCTCAGTGGACCCATTGTGTTTGCAAACAATGAGGAGATACAAAGATGAATCAGATCCGAAATCCTCCTGGAAATGTTTAGAGGATATGATATTATGCATTCAATGTTAAAAAGTCATATAGGCCACAATACATGTAGAGTATGTATGACTATATCATGCAACTAAATGATATCTTGTCAAGACTACTAACCAAGGAAATGGAGTAAAGATTTTCAGTGGGAGATTTGAGAAAGAAAGGAAAGATTAAGGGCTTTACTCTAGCTATATGCCCTCTGTCCTCTCTAAACACACACACACACACACACACACACACACACACACACACCACCACCCTCGCTTTACCTACCAGATTTGAATTGATCTCCAGGGTCCAAACCTAGTGACTGATTAGTACCCCAGACCAGGGGTCCTCAAACTTTTAAAACAGGGGGCCAGTTCACTGTCCCTCAGATCGTTGGAGGGCCGGACTATAGTTTAAAAAAAAACTATGAACAAATTCCTATGCACACTGCACATATCTTATTTTGAAGTAAAAAAACAAAACGGGAACAAATACAATATTTGTATTTGCATGTGGCCCGCGGCCGTAGTTCGAGGACCCCTGCCTAGACTACAGGGCATTGACTGGGCTCCGAGTGACAGAACTGCTCAGAAACTTGAGGACTTGAGCCCAGGAGATCCAGAGAAAGCATCATTTTCCCCTTCCCACTCCTGTGCATGGCTTTAATCCCAAAATGTACTCCAGCCCTATGTGAACTAGAATTACAAATCCCTGCTAATTCCTCTAAGCATAGAGTATCAGCTCCGGAACCACAAGCCCAGATGGAAGGGGTAAAAAGAATTTCCTTTCCTGCCCAATAAATTAACCAGGAACCACAGGAAAGTTATCCGAATTGAGCAAAATTCATGCTAAATCCCATGAAAACACTAGTCATCAAGAAGTTCATATTGTATTGAACACATATTTAAATTGTTTGGCTACATCTGCCACCTGCACAATGCTAGACCCTCTCCTATGCTTCTTTGTCCTATTTCGTGTAGAGGTTATTCTTGTCCAGAGTCCACTGATGCTCAGTGAGAAAAAAAATGGGCTCAATGGTGCTGGACTGTAGAAGGGCCAAATTCTGATTTTAAATAATTACTAATAAGTACCTTGCAGCAGCCTGATTCCAAAGGAGACATCGTGAGGTTTTGGGAACTATTCTAGGCTCGGCAGCATGAATCCTGTAGAGAACCTCACTGTTGTCAGTCAGGGGCTGCGAACTCTGACCTTTCACACTCAAAGATAGTACCTGTAGCATAAAAAAAAAAGCAAACAGAAAATGATTTAATGACGTTTTCAAGTGAATGTCATGACTGAATCTCCCATTCTGCACTTCGCTTCATTTTTCAGTCCCTTCCCTCACTACTCACTGCCACTGTTTCTATAGGAAGCTGCCTTAGGAACGCAGGACACCTCCCTGGCTTTCCATCGCAAACCTTCTGCCTCCACTTCAGTTACTGAGCCGTCTTCAGCTGACAACACGATGACTGTAACTGCTGAACTTCATCACGAGCGGGATATATAAGATAATATTAGTAAAAGCTGTATTTTTTCACTGTCCCTCTATTATATATAGTTTGCTCAATAAAACATGAAGAGAATATTTCCAGCTGTTTTTAAGGCAAAACTCTTGACAAATAGTTCATAAAGATGGGCCATGTTTCATAATTAGCTCACCATGTGTAGCACTTCCCACAAATCTGATCCACCTAATGCATTCTGGGGAGTGTGGCTGCTACGCCAAAGTCAGAGCCCAACCATGATTCTGTATAATGACAGATTACCTTATTTTTCAGGGGAGGAAGGCTGTTTCCACTTATAAACCACTGCTGGCTGCTGTACTCTGTAAACTGGACAGATTCGCACGTACTTTTCCCAGACATGATTTCTGCATCCGGGACATCCAATAACCTTTCCGGAATTCGAATATAATCTCCTTCCTTCCCTTCAAACTTGTGCCCATTGATTTGCTGGGGATACCAATGAAGAGCCAGTATTGACAAATATGGGCAGCTGTCGAGGATGGTTTTGCTTCTACAACAGAAATGCAAAGGGTGTGCTGAAGTGGCATGCATTTTATATATTTTTTGTATTTGTTCTATATATCCCCTTTTATTTTGTTAGAAGGTATTACACCAGGGCTCTGTTCTTGGTGTATAACCAGGACACTACCAACCCAGAGCAGTAGAGAGAAGGTGCTTTCAGTTCTTTTATGGGTTTTTTTTTTCACAGAAATTTCTGCATCCCTTTGCCTGATTCCCCTTATAACCTAACGCATGGATTTTTGAAGCTGTTTCATGGATATCAGATACCATCTGTGGCTGTAAAATGGACTTTTCAGTGTCGGTGAAATCAGCACTGGTGGAACAGGTTGAAGGAAAGGCACATCACTAAGGAAAGGCTCTGTTTTACTGAAGAGTATCGTAAACTTTATATATCCGTAGCTATGTTTTCAAGTGTTCCCTCACCCCTTTCTAACTGCTAATTGATAAAAATGAGGCATTAAATGTTAAAACATAATACAGGCCACAATACATGTAGATTATGTATAATTATATCGTGATTCTAAATGATACCTTGTCAAGACTGCTAACCAAGCAAATGGAGCAAAAATTTTCAATGGAACATTTGAGAAAGAAAGGAAAACATAATGGCTGACCTTTATCTCTAGCTATACCTTTACCTCTCTCTAAAAAGTTACCACCCCAACTTTACCTATCTTTAATCCCGCCTTTCATCCAGGGCTCTAGACCCTAATGTCCAAGACTCCTATTGAAGCACCTCAAGGTGTACAGGCCACACACACCTCCCAAACATCTAACACCCTAAGTCTGATTCTTTCACACACACACACATACATACACACACACACACCTAACTTATTCCATGTTTAACCTTTAAAGGTTGGTGGTCTTCCCAAACACACCATGCTATTCTTGCCTGACTGCCATCGTACATGCTGTTTCCTCTTCTTGGATAACTTAGAAAGAAAGGTAAGCCTATGGAGAGGAAGGGAAGGTGTTGATTCATTTACTGATTCTAGTCACTCACTGTACTACAGCCACTGAGATTCTACAACATACCACTGTTCTAGGCCCAGGGAATACATTAGGCAACAACAAAGAAAGGACCATTCTTTCTGTACATCTCAGATGCTCTGAGTTCTTACCAGGCCTTTGAAGGCACAGATATGGAAACTAACCATCACAGCAGGGTAGATGGTTCACATCTAAGACAACCTCAATATCCTGGTAATTTGGAAACATACGGAAAAACAAATTTAAAGATTTGGGACTAAGGGGATTGTAAAACAATGAACTATGACTTAACTGAACAACATAGTTGAACACAGTATAAGAGGGAAAAACAGTAAAAGGATATTTCTTAAATATGCATACACACACACACACACACACACACACACTGTGGCCTCAGTGCAAACTTACTTGAAGTAGAGAAATCATCCATTCCAGAAGTTTCTGGAGACATTAGAGACATTCACAAATGGCACTGAGGAGCTGAACTGCTAATAGGACTATGGGGATTGTAAAACAATGAACTATGACTTAACTGAACAACATAGTTGAACACAATATAAGAGGTTAAAAACAGTAAAAGGATATTTCTTAACTATACATACACACACACACACACACACACTGTGGCTTCAGTGCAAGCTTACTTGAAGTAGAGAAATCATCCATTCCAGAGGTTTCTGGAGACATTAGAGACATTTACAAATGGCACTGAGGAGCTGAACTGCTAATCGTTGGTCTCAGCTGGACATTTAGGAACAGGGGAGGACTGCAGAAGGGGCCTCCTGAAAGGGCACCCAGAGCTTTTCAGGTGCTTTGATGATGCTCCTCGTTAAG